TGCAGCCCAGGCCATTTTGGTTGAAAATTTGAAAATTTTTTATTATAAAACACAAACACACTTTTCCAAAACTCTTCTGTTCTAGTACCTACTATCAATATTTTCATAGGTTTGTTTATAAAGAGCTACATAAGCCACCAATGAAAGCCGAAGTATTGTCTGTATTATTAAGCTCAACAGAAAGCTCCATGTGCAGCGACAGGAGGCCATAGGCAATTAACACTGCAAATTGAAAGGTTTAGAATCTTTGCATGACCTTTAAAGGGCAACACAGTTGCCCATTCACGTGCATGCAATTATACAGTGACTAGCTCCTAGCAGCAAAAAACTAAAAAAAAAAAAAACATAAAAATATTGAGCACAACAAACCTTGCATTCATCAGAAGTTACTTTGAACTCTCCAGGCTTCGCCTGAAGAGTTAGCTTGACAGCTCACAAGGAGAGTCAAGAGCAACGCAGGCTGATCTCCTTAGCTGTCTTCATTTTGTCAAAGTACTTGGTTCAGCCTATCACCATAATTGCTACCAGGCAACACTACATACATTACTGAAGCTCACTGTAAAGACTTTCTCAACTCTACTCTATAAAAGCACCATGTAAATATAAATTTAATTGAATGGCTATGTTTGTGCTATTGCTAGGGAATGAGAGATATGTCTTTGCTCACTAGACTTTCAGAGGAAATCAAACAATTATAGCTTCTATGGAGTAATTTAAGAGATTGAAAGAAGTGATTTAAAGGACTTATCTAATTTGAGCATATAAGCTCTGATTCCTTAGTTATATCACATACCCCACGTGGACCACTGTAAACAAAATGAAATGTTCTCCTTACAGCTTATAAATCCACTTTTCATCCAATTTCCAAGCAAACTAGAAATCTCATATCTTCCAATGGCAATACCATTCAATTGCATAACTAGACCAGACTAGTAACTAAATTGCCTATCATTACAGCACAGGATAAAATCCAACAAATACTTGTGGTATACACATTGGAAGTAGGTGGGTTTAGGGTATTTAACATAAATTGGGAGCATAAAATCAATGTTTCCTGAAAATCTGTAGATGCCATTTGTAAACCAGAATGAAATGCATGGTTTGTGTTTTGACCGTGAGGGGTATATATTTAATAAAGACAGTATATAGATAAATTCAGTGTTTAAAATGTCAAAATTCACAACTGTACTGTCAATAAATACATCCAAATATCTCTACATACATATTTGTAACCTAGCAAACAAAAGTATCTTCAAAAGGAAAACTGAAGAGAAAAATATAATGTATGTAACCATGGCTCAAACAGCCAAAGTCAATGATAAGCAAGATCTGGTTAAACTATGGATAGAGTTGTACTGCAGGTCAAATCATGTAAAATGGTAAAAACTATGTACTTAAAAATGTAGATATTTTGTAAAGTTGTTCTTGCCCCCTTTGACAGAAAACCATTATCTTCCAGGAGTATTACTAAAAGCACATGTATGTATGTATGTGCATATATATGCAGGTATACAGATTAGATAGATATTGCAGAGAAATGTGCTTAAACACTACTTTCTTCACATTCCCGTAAGTCTAACCATTTCTATTAAAATTTCTATCTAATAATTCTTAAAATTTCTATGAAATATTAGAAGAATTTCTACTTTATTCCATTGACAAGAACACTGAATCACTGCACTGACTGAACAGAATCAAACCTTTTTAAAATTACTGAATAAGTCAATGGCCAATGACAATTTAAAAACAGAAACTAACTTCTGGGTCTCTGTTGCTAGGCCCACCTGGGAGTATCTCCCTTTTCCGACCATGCTCCCAACCTGAAGTAAATTTACTCTCTGAAAAGGTTCATGGTCACTCAATGTAAAGTGACTCCTTCTCTTTCAGTGGAGTAATAAGTAGTTCAGTATGGTCTGAGTGGTTCAAAAGAAAGTTAACCAAAGAATTTTCAAACAAAATGGCAAATTCTCTGTATTACATGGCATTATAAGACCAATGATTCAAAACGAAGATTCATCATGTGAAATATTGGGCAGGCAAATGGGCCAGATATGAAGTTGATTCAGCTGGTATGGCCTTTGTATCTAGCCCCAGTCTGTGCTAATGCATTACTTCTCTTGGTTTTTGATGGAGTCCCACTAATAACAGGTTGATGAATTGCATTTGTAAATGTCAGGCATAGATCAAAGGGGACTATGCTGGACATTTTTTTTTAACCAAGAAAACAAAACTGCACTGCATGGCAAATTTCCTTATTTTTAGTTGAATCTTCAGCGAACAAAACAGCTGCAGAATAATGCAACTTAATGAGGCATTTCTAATAAAATACTGCAGAAGTAAAAGCAGAGGCACTGAACTGTTTGCACTCTGGTTGCTTCATCTTTTCAAACACATTAGAAACAACTGATGACACTTTGGAGCCTTCCTCATTTGGGACATGCATCAGAGAGTTCATCAGTTTACAGTCACAGCTGAACTTGAGCCCAATCTGAGTGTACCTTGTCATCAGGGCTATAATAAGAAATGCCTGGGAAAAGCTAGAGAGGCACAGCTTACCCTTTCCCGATATAGTAATCCATAAGCTGCAGTTGGTGATAAGTCAACTCTAAAATGTACTTTGTACATCTCAATACATTTTAAGATGTTCACCAAATAATGTATAGAAAATACTGAATTCAGGACTACCAAAATTATCTGAGAAGGTACAAAATAATTTTTCTAAAATGTTCTATCAACCCTTGTTCCATCATTTTACGAATTTTTAAAGAGGAAAGGTGGCCATCTCTAAAAACAGATCTTCCTTTTACAGCCCTGTCATCACATTTTTTACCTTGATGGTTAATAAATACTATCATACAGTCCCTAAGCAGTCCGGATCTATTTCAATACAGATCTATGAGCATCTCAATGAAAGTTCATTCTCCAATTTGTCATTATTAAGATAGCTTAAAATAGCCATAAAGTATTAAATATCAAAATAGCTTAAAAATCACACATATTCAGAAACCTTAGCCTCCCATCTAGCATAACTTGTAGCATTACAAAGATGTTTCCTTTAATGTCAGGGTCCTTTTGCTGCTTAAGAGACACATATTATAGATAGCATTAAATGGAGTTCAAACATCCTAAACTGCTAAAGTTTTTAAAGACAAGAATCAAGCTTTTCATCTGCAAAAACACCCAATTTGAATAAAGCAACACACTGAAATTGTGCTTGACTATTTATCAATTCCCTGTGCCTGACCACTCAATGAGCAGTGACACTGTTTTCAGCCTTATGTCTATAACTAACACAATCCAATTATTTCCACTTGAACATTGGGCAAATGAAAGTAAAATAAGCTCCAATGTGGTTACTCATGGGCTTCAAGAGATTAGTGATGGTTTTAAAAATTAGGATTCTACAAAGGTCAAGATGCAAACAATTGGTTCAAGAGGAGATTCAGAGCAGGTTAAAGTAGGAAGAGAGACAATTAAATTAAACATATGTCTGATCCTTTATTTAAAATAGAGGGCGTTAGGTGCTAATTTTGAAATTCTAAATGGCTTCACATTGGAGAGTACATGTGCAAATATGGAAAACCCATAAAAATAATCTTACTGCTCTGATTTTTAAGCTTTAATAGTGTTTTGTAATCTCCTCTGTTATTTTGATTTAGCTCTTGACAGAAATCTTAAATTCGTGACTCATTTGTCTTAACTTATATTGCCTAGTAGAGCAGTTTCAGAGTGTTAATTGATAACTATCTGAATGTTGATGTCTAAAACAAACTAGTGGCACAGGCAAGCAGCAGATAATTACCATCTAGTCAATAATCACTGAAACCCACGCTGATCTGACTGAAGGACCCTCATACACTCAGTGCTGTAGGAGCACATTTCAGAGCACAGGCTGGTTAGTGGGGCAGGGGACTTTGCAAAATCCAAGAGGGGAGACTGCACGCGCAAAACGAGGGTATTTTTGTTTTCCGTCTTGCTGTCACAAGGCAGAGTCACCCAGCACAAGCTGAAGAGCAGCCAGGCACTGTAGTATTCCAAGCGCTGGAGGCGATTGTGTAACACTGGGTCAGGAAGTGGAATACTGACTAGGCAAGCGTCGCGTCCACCCCAGGGTTCTGGGAGCGCTAGGCTGGAGGGCTCAACCTGCAGTTCTAGGAGAAACGGGGCGACAGATCCCAAACTTTCCTGTGCAAAGACGTATCTGCAAATAGCACGTTCCTCGCTGAAAGGGGGGGGGGGGGGGATCTGTAAGTAGCCTACAGAAAACGCTTATTGGCAGGCGCCCAGCCTCTTAGAATCCAAGGGGGAAGGAGCGGCAGAGCAGTTGTGTGTGCTGTCGGCAAGAGGTGGGTGACGTCTATCCGGAAAGAAACGAAAAAACCAAGAGTTTCCGAAGCTGTTCTTTCTCTGCACGCCGTTCGCAAAAGGACCCTTTCCTAAAGCGCTCTTTACAAAATCTTAATTTCCTTCAGTAATAAAGCGCCCGTGCCCGGATCTAAGAAAACCTATGACTAGATGAGGCTTAGGAACTCATCAGCACGATCCTCCGTGAAAACAGAGGTGTGGAAACCAACAAGCCTCGTTGAAACGCCACCCTCTGAGACAGGCCTGAGAATTAACTAATCAGAAGTGGGCAAAAAGTAGGGATTTCAGAGGGCGACCTGACACATCCCCGGAGCCTCCCTCGACTATGACCCCCCCCCCAACTCCTTATTAAGAGTCCAAAACGGTCCCCAGCCAGGGGACTGACCTAGGCGAGGGACGGAATTAAATCCCACTTCAGTCCTCGACCCGGTCGTTCGCTGCATAGAACTGGGGCAGCTGAGAGAAAGAGTGGGGGGCACGCTTCACTTCCCTCGCTGCGCCCCGACCCCGGTCGCCCGACCGGCACCTTGCCTCACCTCTCACCCTCCCCTCCCCGGGGCCCAGAGGAAGCGGAGGCTCCGGGGCGGCGCGAGTGCCCCGTGCCCGCGGCAACCCGAGGCGCGGCGCGCTCCTACCTGCAGCCCGGCTTCCCGGAGGCGGCAACACCTAGCGATGTTCCTGCAGCGTCCGCGGACCGGCGCCAGCCTCACCGCGCTTGCATCGCTTCCGAGATGCCAATCCGCCGTCAGCATCCAGGGGCATAGGGAACCCGGGTCCAGCGGTGTGCGCTCGCGGAGGGCGTGTGAGTGTGGCCCCGGGCGTGCGTGTGTGTGTGTGTGTGCGCGCGCGCGCGAGGGTGCGTTTCCTCCTCCGATGGCACAGAGGGTTCAGCAATCTCTTGACATCCAAACTAGAATCCCCCTTACGCGATTGGAAGGTGGAGTGCGTGAAGCTGGGCTCCACTCCCTCCCTCTTTATTCCGCCGTGTCCAAGTAATCAGAAGCTGTGTTCGCCGAGGACAAACCAAAGTCCCGCAGCCCCGGGCAGCGCGGCAGGCGCCCGCGGTCCTGGCCGGATGCGCGCAGCCCGCTCAGCTCCCTGACTGCGAGGCTTCACGCGGTCTCGCAGCAATTACCGCTCCCGTTCCATCGCGGGTGGGTTTGCTCCTCGCGCCGAGGACTCTGCGGCTCGCACGCACACGCACACTCACTCACACCTGCTCCGGTCTCTGTCTCCCGCCCGCCCCTCGCGCTCTCTGGGGAAAGGCAATTGGTTGGTGTGGTTCACCTTCGGGAAAGCAGTCGCCGCCACCTGCTTTTTGTTTCCGCACGAGTCCCGGGGCGCAGACGCGGAGAAGTGGCCGGGGAGGCTCCGGATGCAGCCACTGTCCCAGTGCCCCTGTCACTGCAGCTCGCAGCTGGGTCCCCGCGGGTGCCCTCCCGGAGACTTTGCGCGGTCCGCTGGAGTCCACTTAGCAGCAGCTCCCGGCCAGTCTCAGCCAGTCGCTGGAGCCTCCGAGCACTGCCGGCAGAGCCCCACGCAGCTCGCCCGTGACCCCTCTGGGCATGGTGGGCGGGGAGGGAGGGAAACCCGCCGCTGCCCCGCTGCCACCAGCACCGCAGAGAAGGTGCGAGTTCCAACCTCCAACAGAAGCGAGCAGGTGTCGCTGGTGTGGCTCCGCTAAAGGCGGGGAGGGGAGGAAGGCGGGAGCGGGGGAGGGGGCCGCTGAAACCAATCCCGATCACCGGAGGAAACCGAAGTAAACGGCCCAGCGACCACAACGTGCTCCCCGCGTCCCGCCGCAGGCGCTGTTCCGTCCAGCGACACCCGTAGTCAACCTTTTAGAAAGTCACCATAAAGGGCAGAGCCCCTGTTCTAGCCCAGACCCCCTATTCCACCAGTCCTGCTGTCCCGGGAGTACGGAGTGGCCAGCCCCTCTGGCACGGCGCAGAGAGCGCGGGGAGAGAATGAGAACTGGTCCTGACACTCCTGGGTGAGTTGGGATGGCTGAACCGGGCGGCGGCGCCTCCCTGCGACTCCCTCCCAGCACTCAGTTCTGTGAGCAGAGGCAGCTGCGGCTGCGAGCCGGCAGCTGGTCCTGCAAAAACCGAGAAAGTAAAAGATGAGGCGGCAGCGACCGCTGGAAAAGCTGGACTGTGTCTCCCTCTAGTGCGAGACGCAGGCTACAAAGCCTTGATGGATAAGGACCGGGCTCTGAATTTCTAACACACACACACACACACACACACACACGAAAGAAAACAGTATCTGGTTTCAGAATTCTGCATTTTTTACAAATTCCAACCACTAATGGCTTTAGAGAGGAGATTTGCACTGCCGCAGTCTCTCAACTCCAGGAACTTCGTGATATTTATGGAAATGGAATAACACGACCCTGGAAGGTCACGTCCTTAGAGATTCTGTGAGATTGGGTGTTGGTTTTACCAGAGTGCATATGAGTGCAAATGAGCGGTGCTCTTAGGCTCACTCTGACCATGTCTGGAGAGGAGCAAACCTTAACCTAATGATGAGAAGATTATGCACTAATGACTTAAATAGGATGGATTTAGAAAAAGAAAAAGTCTGAGACACAATAAAATGCTGACCCAGGGACTCTTACAAGTCTCTTAGAACTATGGTTAACTCAAAGATCTTGTTCCGAAGCCAATATTCACACCTTATTCAACTAAACTAATAATTATCAGTATGGCTAAATTCCTGCCAGCTCTCATGTGCGTTTATAGCTCTGATTCACAGAAACCATTTACAAGCTAAGCACCTCATGCTCTCTCCGCCAGCTGTAAAAGGAATACTAGTTGCCATAATTACCATAAAATATGGAATATCTGTTTCACATAGTGATTTTTATCTCAACATATTTAGTAATCCAACCATATTTTGTATCTAAAAGATGTCAACTGATTTAATTCTATTGAGGTGGTTGTTATAACAAAAGATAATTCCATGAGGTTTTGTTACGTCAGCCAAGTTCAAGCCCTGTCTTATCTATAACATGAATATTTAGAATTTGTGAATTCACTACTTGAATTGAGAATTTGCTTTCAAAATGTTTCTATATTCTTAAAAACTATAACATATATATTACAGTTTGATTAAACATCTTTCCATTCACTCTAAATTTTTGAAGCAGTTCTATCTTAACTTTATCTTAGTATAGGTTTAACAGGAAAAGAGTTTACTTTAAAAAATAATTGAGTGGCCGGCACTGTGGTATAGCGAGTAAAGCTGCCGCCTGCAGTGCCAGCATCCCATATGGGCAACGGGTTCTAGTTCCGGTTGCTCCTCTTCCAGTCCAGCTCTCTGCTGTGGCCCAGGAAGGCAGTGGAGGATGGCCCAAGTGCTTGGGCCCTGCACCTGCATAGGAGACCAGGAGGAAGCACCTGGCTCCTGGCTTCAGATCTGCGTAGCTCCAGCCGTAGCAGCCATTTTGGGGGGTGAACAAACGGAAGGAAGACCTTTCTCTCTGTCTCTCTCTCATTGTTTATCTGTCAAATAAATTTAAAAAATGAAAGAATCTTTCTAGCTTCTAATTAGCTCTTTGTGGTCAGAGGAAAATCTATAATTAATCATTTTGCTACAATGTTGCTAGAATGTGGAATATTTTTACCCTTATTTTCTTTTTTTTTAAGATTTATTTATTTATTTGACAGGCAGAGTTACAGAGAGAGGTAGAGACAGAGAGGTCTTCCATCAGCTGGTTCACTCCCCAGCTGTGCCGATCCGAAGCCAGGAGCCAGGAGCTTCTTCTGAGTCTCCCACACAGGGGTCCAAGGACTTGGGCCATCTTCCACTGCTATCCCAGGCCATAGCAGAGAGCTGGATCGGAAGTGGAGCAGCTGGGACTAGAACCGGCGCCCATATGGAATGCCGGCACTTCAGGCCAGGGCATTAACCCGCTGCGCCACAGCACCGGCTCCTACCCTTATTTTCTGAATTAAACCCACCATGGTTTTACCAACATACAAAAAAGTAAATAAAATAAATGTGTAAATTACAAAATATAACAATTTTTATACAAAGTTATATGATGCTGAAATTTAGTAATAGCCTTTGTGTTTCTTGTAACTACCCAAATAATTCCCAGTAATTTTTAGATTAAGGTATTTTGAATTCCAACATTTGCTAGGCTTTGAAACAAAATCTATTGTACTCCCTCAAAAAAAAAAAAAGTGGGAAATAAACACCCTAGTTTAATAGAACTCTGGAGTTGATACTTCTTATCCTCTGTTTATTTAAACTGCTTGCTTCCTACAATCCAATTATTAAAAAGCAATTCTTTAAATATTGAATTTAACTGAATTGTAACTCATCATAGCTCTCCTTGTCCTGAAGGCTTGCTAAAATGTCACTATGGTGTACTTCCAGCTTTTTTTTTTTTTTGCTTCAATTTATTAAATGATTTTATTGAAGTGTAATTAAATCCAATAATTGATATAGTTAAAGTGTACAATTTGTTGAGTTTTCCTATGTAATCATTTCTGTGAAGCCAGTCAAAATACCAAACATTTTCATTCCCAGAAAGTTTCCTCGTGCCCCTTTATAATCTGTACCTTCTTCCACCAGCAGTCTCCAGCATCCAGGGATAGTTTCTATCATCATAGGTGAGTTTGCATTTTCTGGAGTTCACATAAATTGAATCATATAGTATATGCTCCTTTTTCATGCTTTCTTCCATCTAAATAATTATTTTGAGATTTATCCATGTCACAGTATGTATTAATAGTGGTTTTTTTTTTTCATTTCTGAATAGTTTTGCATACCACACATTGTTCAGCCATTCACCTCTTAATCAACATTTCTAGTTTGGGGATTTACAAACAAAGCTGCTATGAACATTTGTGAAGAAGGTTTAGGGTGAACATATGTTTTCATTTCTCTTGGGAAAATACCTAGTAATGGAATGTCTGGATCATAGGATAGGGTATGCTTTAAAACAAAAAGTGTTTTCTGAAGTACCTGTGCCATTTCACGTTCCTGTCAGCAGTGGTAGAGAGCGTCTGGGCCACTTTAAGCTTTCTGCTAGAGACTTTATAGGTTATCTCAGCTCTTTATCTCAAATGCTCACATCATCCCTTAAGGTAGATGATATAACTTCACTATACATTGAAAAAAATTGAAACAATTTCCCTGTCATTAAGTGGTGGGGCTAGGATTCAAATCAGATCTACCTGAGTCCACAGTCAGTGTGTGGTTTGTGTTTAGTTTGGTTTTTGATCTGGGTTGGGTTCCTACCCACCCTCCAGTCTCCTCAGGTTTGCCCCAACCCCAAAAGCTAAAGCATGCTATCTTCTAGATATGGGGGATCAAGAGCATTTGGACCTGAATCCAGAGAAGTCTTGAGTCAGAGATGTTTGGTCCCTGAATAACATCGAAAGAAGTTGTTCACAGGCAATGCAAAAGTTAGTAGCAGCTCCCTTCTGTGTCCTGACAGGTACAAGGGTATCAAAACAAGTGAACAAAGACACTTTGAGTCCTACTGCATAAATGTGGAGAGGTGCCACCTGCAAGCCATCCAGTCTCACTGTTCCCTCTTGTTTTATTTATTTGGTGCTGACATTTCTTCCTTTTGCAGTAATGCTTCTCTTTTGCAATAATAGCACTTACCTATAAATACTTTAACTTTTCTTCCTATACACACATGTGTACCTCACAGGTTTTGTGCATTTGTTTGAAAAGCAGAGAAGCAGACACAGAGCACCCATTGCTAATGGCCCACAACAACTGCAGCTGGGCCAGGGCTAGATCCAGGAGCCAGGAGTTCAGTCTGGGTCTCACACATGTATGGCAGGGACTCAATTACTTGAGCCTTCCACAGTGTGCATTAACAGGAAGCCAGAATCTACAGCAAAGTTGGGTCTCAAACCCAGGCACTCTGATATGACATATGGCTGTCTTTACTAGAATACATGCCTGTTCCAGTGATTTTTAAAAGCAACACTTGCAAAATGTTTTTGGGTAATCAAGTAAACTGAAGAAAGCACAGAATTCACTCCATATACCCCAAGGTGACACGCATCTGCTAAGAATTTTAGTATCCCCATCATCTACCATGCTACCTAACACACGATAAATACTCTATAAACACTTTATGATCAAAAACCAGATACCAAACAGTCCAAGTAAGCAACAGATGCTGTGACAATAATTCAAAAGGATTGTGCCACAGAACGAAAAAGAACAGAGGCAGGAAAAAATGTCCTAAATGTAACAAATCATGCCAAAACTTAGTGGCTTAAAGAAGAAACACTGGGGCAGTTGTTTGGCCTAGCAGTTAATATGCTGGTTAAGAGCCTGCATCTGGGCCAGCACTGCGGCTCACTAGGCTAATCCTCCACCTGCGGCGCCGGCACCCCGGGTTCTAGTCCCAGTCGGGGTGCCGGATTCTGTCCTGGTTGCTCCTCTTCCAGTCCAGCTCTCTGCTGTGGCCCGGGAGTGCAGTGGAGGATGGCCCAGGTCCTTGGGCCCTGCACCCACATAGGAGACCAGGAGAAGCACCTGGCTCCTGGCTTCGGATCAGTGCGGTGTGCTGGCCGCAGTGCGCCGGCTGTGGCAGCCGTTGGGGGGTGAACCAATGGAAAAAAGGAAGACCTTTCTCTCTCTCACTGTCCACTCTGCCTGTCAAAAAAAAAAAGAGCCTGCATCCCACATCAGAATACCTGGGTTTGACTCCTTGGAGATAGCTTATCTCTCTCTCTTCCCCCCGCCCTTTACCTGTATCTATCTCTTAATTTCAAACAAATATATTAAAAATACTTTAAAAGAGCACATGTTCATTTAAATAATATTCCTGCGGATTAGCGCAGTCAGGCAGTTCTTCTGGACTTAGCCGAGCTTATTCGTGTGTGTGTGTGGTCAGCCAGCAGTGTACCACTTCACTTGTTATCTGACAACTGGCTGACTACAAGCTGGAATGCTGGGGGTAACTAGGCCACCTGTCTTTTATCATCCAACAGGCTAGCCTAGCTATTTAACATGCTGGCAGTCACAGGTTCCCAAGAACAACAAGGGAGCCTCCAGGCCCAAATACATTCCAAGTCTCTGCTTGTCTCTTATTTGCTACAGCCC